AATGAATGAATGAATGAATGAATGAATGAATGAATGGATGGATGGATAGATGGATGGATGGATGGATGGATGGATGATGGATGGATGATGGATTGATGGATGGATGGATGAATGGATGGGTGATGGATGGATGATGGATGGATGGATTTGTGGATGGATGGATGGATGGATGAATGGACAAATGATGAATGGATGGATAGATGGATGGATGATAGATAGATGGTTGGATGAATGGATGGTTAATGGATGGATGGATGATGGATGGATGGATGGATGGATGAATGGATGAATGGATGGGTGATGGATGGATGGATGGATGATAATGGATGGATGATGGATGGATAGATGAATGGACAAGCGATATGATGAATGTACAGTAATCTTTCTAGAAAACTTGATTAATAAATAAATGATGAATGAATAAACTGCCGGCTGGATCGATAAACAGTCGGTAAAAGCTCTCATGACCAACAGACAGTGGAGGTGACTGGAAGAATAGATGGATGAATGAACTAAAGGGAAATAAACCCAAACGAAGTAAAGGAACTATTTTAAGGGGCCGTCATTGGTTGTGTAAATGTGTTGGCTTAATTTAAATCCCAGGATCTCCTCTTCACTGTGGTGCTCTGAAGTAGAACTGGCTTTTTTAATCTTATTTTTGAATCTAAACTCAGCATTTCACTGTGACTTAAGCTCTTGCTCCATTTTCATTATTGTTTAACCAGGAAAGAAGACATTGTATAGAAAACAAGTTTTCCTTGGTGGTGTTGGGTGTAGAGATTTACAGTATCAGTTTACTATTTTGTGTGTATCACTACAAACCCTGGTTCTGAAACATATTTTTTTTAGTAAATGTATCCCCCAGCTGTATAGATGTTCTATCTCACTCAGTGGTCATCAAAGAAAATGTGTATGGACTCACATTCTCCACATAAAAGTCATCTGCTTGTATAAAACATTCCCTTTAAATCGTTGATATAGATGTAGAGAGGTACGCAAATAAGATAAAAGTTTAATAAAAAACATTCATCATTCCGACAGATTCTGTAAAGACTCTTTTTGACTGTGGTTCAGGCCTAGAACTGTGAGTGCACAGATATATTGGTCTAACTTTGGTATAGGCCAATATTCATCTGGGTGAATATTATTAGTGTATTGGAAAAAAGTCTAATATTGACCACTGTCAGCATAGGTGTGCTCTGGTTGTGGCACATTACCCTTGCTCTAAAATGTTTTTGTTAGGGTATGTATACGTTCAAAAATGTTAAATTACTATGAATATAATTTGCCAAAATATTCTTTTGCAATCATCTCTTTTCCCACACAATCAGTTTATGTGTTGGATTATATAATAAAAAGGTTCTTTATGTAAATTATACATTTTTGCCGACACTAAAATGATCTGAACTACTTTAAAACTTTATAATTTCCCTGGCATTGAAGGATAATTGTACAGCACTGGCATCATTATATAAATCACTGGTTATCAGTGTTTCACCACATGGAGGCAAACTAATGGTGATTTTTGACAATATGAATAAAGACGTTTCTTTGGTGAGAATTATGGGTGATAAAAATTACCATCAAAAAATACCCCCAACAAAATTCCTGTTATTTTGATCAGCTCTTGTGTTTATTTTTCATCTCATACTTGAGGCAGTAGTTCAGCTCTTTAGAAGTAAGGTCTTATGGAAAAATTCTGACAAATCAGTATCTTACCTGTTATAGATACATCTTTGAGCAATCCATTATCCAAAAAAATAAATAAATGTCTAAAAATTGTCTAAAATCTTTTTTTTTTTTACCTGCGCAATCTCCCAACTCTCTAACGTGTCAGTCACAGTGCAACATGACACGTTTTTAAAGCTTTAAATAATTAAATAGAACTACTGTAAATATATATATTTTTTATGTATATTTGAACACACAGCAGCAAAGTAAGAACTACAAGAATGAGCAAAATTAAACAACTGAAAAAAATGTTCTGAGGTGTATTTTTAATAATTTTGTCAGAAAAATGTACCATTTGCTTACATGGAGGAAGGGGGCTTTAAAATACTCCAGGCAGCCCACTAGGGGGCGGTCATCCTTTCATGCTTCAACTTCCAGCTTTCAGTCCTGTGCTTACCCGTAGTTAAAATACTGCACATCTCGATAGAGTGACCTCGGTTTAAAAATAAAATAAAACAGTTGTTCAGAGTTAGCTGACAAGCTAACAGCTGGTCTGAGATAGGTCAAGGATTGCTTCATTTTAAAACACAATATTTTACATTGTCATCAACTTTACATTACTTGGTGATTCATGTAAAAAATATGGTTCTTTGCTAGCACAAATAGTGGCTGCAGCAGTTAGCTGTAGCACATCCAGTGCACATAGTGCATTCTGGCAAGTATATTACAATTTCTCTACCAGAGCAACTGTAGTGAAGAGAAGCGGCGCACTATGCGTGTATTGCACACTAGCCTAGCGCTAATTTAGTGGCAGCAGTTGTCAATGGGGATGGGGCAGTGGTCTAGTCCACAGTTTTGTAGTGGGTATACCACGGTAAAGGTAGTTTTACATTGAAGCCATGGAGCGTGAATGTCCAACATAAAACTAACTTTATCGCGGTCGGTTCGTATACTGTGCTTAGAAACCAAAGTACACTGGTTAGTACAATGAATGTAGTTGTCAATTTATTTTGATTTTTAAGCACATTGAACAATTCCAAATTTCTTTGATGCTTATATTTGAATAAATGTACAACAAACTTTGTACAACAGTTGGCTTTGTATTAAAAACATGTTATAGAATTTATAAAACAGTATCAAAGAAAACATGTTCAAGTATTAAATAGTAAATACAGAAGTATTAATTATACAATAATTTGCTGGATAAGTGAATGTAATAAACAAGCGCTGCATACAGATTGTTACAGAAGCATTTAACTGCCGTTTAACGTATCAATGATACGTGTCTAATGATATGTCACGTACCGTTGGGCACTTTTTAATGGGTATACTGAAATTCTTAAGCTTTTCTAGTAAGTATACACCGTATACCCGCATATCACGTAAACTACACTACTGGGATGTGGGGGTGGGTAGTGGTGGACAAAGTACTCAATTTTAGTACTTGTATTGATACTCCTGGTCAAATCTTACTCAACTACAAGTAAAAGTTGCTCAGTCAAAAGTTTACTCAAGTTAAAGTACTGAAGTACTTACATTTGAGAATACTTAAGTATTCAAAAGTACATGCATTTTAAAAATACTCAAGTACTTAAAAAGTACAAATTATATATATTTATTTTTTTCTTCTCCTTTTTTTCCTCCTTTTTTCCCTCCTTCTTTTTCCCCTCTTTTTTTTCTTCTTTTTCTCTTTTTTTTCCTTTTCAATTATTTAAAAAGTACAAATTATATATATATATATATATATATATTCTTTTCTTTTTTTCTTCTTTTTTCCTTTTGTTTCCCTTTTTTCTTCCTTTTTTTCTCTTTTTTCCTTCTTTTTTTTCCTTTTCAAGTATTTAAAAAGTACAAATTATATTTGCTAATATCAGTACATTGCTGTATTGTTCTGAGTGATTTTACAGAACCATGTAACTCTGAAACCACCTGATGATGTATTGACATGTAGAACCACTCTGACACCACATGCATTAATAAAACCTGTAAGCTACAAATATCTTCCTGCATTTTACATGTCTGTGGAAAGTCGTGGAAACCCTAACAGATGATGCACATTTAGTATTTTCCTCAGCTTCAGTATTCATACACTGTATTGTTTGTCTGTAAGAGTGCATATATTGACAGCAGCAACTAAACGCAGGAGAGGAAACAGTACCACTGATAACTGAAAGTACTGCCATACTTAACATAGAAGCTTACAAAACAATGAATGTTCTGCACAGATGAATCTAGAATAATACCTGAATCAACAACTAGACAACTGCATTTAAGGAAATAAAAAACAGCAACAGTGGATTACAAAGCTGATCCAGAAGGAACAAGAAGCTTCCTAGAAATGTAGTGGAGTCGAAAGTACGATATTTGTCTTTGAAATATAGTGGAGTTGAAGTCATAAGTTCCCAAAAACACAAATACTCAAGTAAAGTAAAGATGTTCAGAAATGTACTCAAGTACAATACACAAGTAAATGTACTTCATTACTGTCCACCACTGGGGGAGGGTGGGGATATTTGGTAGGCGGGGCGCTCGGTTCTGTTGACAGGGTGGGGGCGCCCTCCTTGAGTAATGGTAGGGCAAGCACTGGACTCTGTTTCTCCAAGTTTAAGTAAAAGCTACCTGTTCCTAACTTTAAATGCATTTCAAAAGATCTGAACGTTCCTTTTAAACTAAATAATAACTAATAGTAAACAAATTGATTTACAATAAAACTTGGAAAGGCGTTACCATTGTACCCAACAGAATCACTTTGCATTCTTACATCACAGTTCCTTCATGACAACTTTTCTGCTTCTCCACCATAGGATACACTTGGCGGGCGTTTTGACGCCTCCCAGGCCCTGGTTGGGGAGCTTTCCCAGTTCAACCTGTGGGACCGGGTACTGAAGCCCGCAGAGGTGGCCGCCCTTGCGGACTGCAGCTCCTCAGCACTGGGTAACATCGCCCCGTGGACCGACCAGGATGTAGATGTTTATGGCGGTGCCACCAAGGAGTCCCTGGACCCCTGCCACGCCGCCCAGAGACTGAACCCTTCAAGCCCCAAGCAGTGAAGGGTGACCAGAGGAAATCGGCCAATGGCGGTCATGTTTGATTGGTCAACTTGGAGTTGGTTAGGATGTTCAAAGCTGCGTTAAACTGGAGCTTAGAGTGTGCATTTGCTTTCGAGAGGCTAGTAGCATCCCAGTGGACTAAGAGATAGTGCAATGAAGTTGTAAAGAGTTGCGTATCAGTTTTGTTCTTTGTGTTGGTGTACACGCTCATGTGTTTACTTCTGCAGTGAGTGACTTAGTTACAGAATCACCTTTTCGACGGCAGCGAGGTGGTTCAAATTCTGGCATAAACCGCTTTAATGGACACGCTACATTATAGAGAAACGATTAGATCAGATAAAAACGTACCGTCGTTTTACTTTGGTAGGACGAGTTGGACCGTTCAACCTTACAGAATCACCAAGGCGAAGGGTTTAATGGGTTTGTGTATGATTATGTAAGGAATCTGCATTGATGTCAAGGAGTATTTTGATGTTTGCAATGCAATGACGCAAATTTCTGTTTTTTTTTTTTAAATATCATTTCTGTCAATGTAGTTGTGTTAAATGTTGCAAGTGATTTCTGAAATGCTCTTCGTTTGATCGCTCAATGGGAAAAACAACAAGTTATGTATGTTTTAAAGCGTATTTGATTCTGTTGAGTACTGTCCATGTTCTTTTCAGTTTTCTATATCACATATGATTTGGGACAGTTTTCTTATAAATGTGTAAAGCGTAATGTATTTCTGGTGGTGTTGCTCGCGTCTAGTCTGCCGCCTTTGATGTAATCGTGTCACACACCTCGCAGCCCTGCAGAGAAGTTGCACCAGTTAGGTCTGCAGCCGAACGATGCAGCACTCGCTTTTGACTTCTGAAATAAACACTTCGTGTCTCTAACTGCTAATCGAATACTGGCATCATGCTGTTGTTTGATAAAACGGTGGTACCCTCGAATGCAAACCAGATGGAATGAAAGTATGTTTGCATGAGTGTCTTCTGCAAAGCCATATTTCCTGCTACAAAAAAAAAAAAAAAAGTTGCTGATGACAGTGTTCACAGATTTCCTCACAGCATACAGATGTCTCACAAAGATGGACGTGAATCCACGGTGACTATTTTGTATTTGACATTTTGTTTTTCAGCACATGCGGTCAGAGCTTCATCGACTCACGCGTTTCAGCTAAGAAGGCGAATCGCAGAAAAAGTCCTGGATCTTCTATGTCAGATGAAAATTAACTCAAAACATCCCGGTGCTTTGTTAAAAAAAAAAAAAAAGAAGAAGCGACAAGTCAAATAAATGGAAAAATATGCATTTGAAATGCAGCATTAATTTGTCTCATATTGTTTTTGATTTTTTTTTACTTTACATTACCATGTGTACACAATGCACTTACTTTAATAGATAGAAAAAAAATCAAATACTATCTTAGAACGAAGATTAAATAATCTGTTTGTCACACGACATTATAACAGTTCAATAACTAAGGCTTAAAAAACACTCAGACTCAGCTTTCATTTAATTACCATATTTTTTGGACTATAAAATCTTTTAATTTTCTCAAAAATTGATAATGAGCCTTATAATCCCGTGCACATTATGTATTAATTCTAGTTGTGCTTACTGACCTGGAACCAATTTCACGTGGTTATTGTGAATGAGTTAAATAAAGTTTGACTTATCTGACTGTTTTGTTTCGCTTAATGCGCCTTATAGTCCGAAAAATACGGTAGATGAAGCTTCACCGTTATAATTGTTGTGCCAATTGTTTTTGTGAAAAGGAGGTTCAGTGGAAGGATCGTGATTATTTAATATCTTACCTGTTGTACAAACTCAGTTTAGAGAAAGTTTATTTTTGACTGAGTTGAGGAGTTAACAGCTTGTTCCAGTGGGACCAGAAGTACAGCGGCATAAACTTCAACTTCCGGCGAGCTGATGGACAGCAGCTCCCTCCTGCCTCTCTGCAGTCTTTTATCATCAAACTGACCCGTTTTTCGAATCGGACTAAAGTTGGTCCTCCTTTCAACCGAATTCGGTGTTCAGTGACTCAGAGAGCCGGACGGGACCGTCCAAAAAATAATAATTTTTGGTCCAGGACCGATCGGCCGCTCCCCCCCCACCGGTCACTCTGAGCGCACCCTGCCGGCCAGGTGACCCCTCGAGCTGGGGAGTCGACGCATGAAGGTCCGGTGCTTTTTCTCTCTCTCTCTGGACCTCAACGAACTCTTATCTGGACCTTTGTGGTTCTACCTGGTTCCGACAAATATCGCTGGGTGGTATTTCGCTGGTTTTCTGCTGGACTGGCCCTCGTGGTGTCTTCATAGGTGTGGGGGAAGTGTACCTGTGTCCCTCAAATTGGACCAGAACCAAACCGAGGTGGCTGTGGGGATATCGTCTTCAACAGAGCCGGTCTCAGCTTCAGTGAGCAGCCCGTTACTTTTACCGAAGGACGATCCACCTCCGTGGAGTCGCTGTGTTCACCTGGAGGAGACGCTCCGGTGCTTTGAAGCGTCGCCAGACCGGAGCAGAACCGGGCCAGGGACATCTTCAGCCTCTTCGTCTCTCGTGCTTGGAGCGCCGGAGCCGAACTGGAGCAGAATCGGACCGGACCAGTTGCCGACTTCAGCCTCAGCCTCTCCGGTCAGTCTCACTTTTCACCGGGGGTGCCCCGTGCTGTCGGGTGCGGAGGTGACGTGCTGAGAAGCGGAGGAGCAGCGTGGAGGAGCAGCGTGGAGGAGCAGCGTGAAGGAGGAGGGCTGCGTGGTGCTCGAGAGAAGTTCGGAGTTTGTATCGGAGTTGCTGCAGGCCTCCATCCAAACTCACCTGGATAATAATTAATTTTATTCCGGATCACGCTGTTGGCCCCTGTTGACCTGAAACGAGCTAGGATCATGTCTTTCACTTCAGGAGGATTTTCTGGCAGCTCACTCTGCTATTTGCTGCAAATTATCTGTTTCTGTTTCGGCCTGTTGATTCTGGACCCAGCATCTGTTTCCCATGAGAGCATCCATCCATCTTCACTGGGGGCCCGGAGCCCCCCTCAGCCCAACTCAAACTGCAGTTGGGCCAACTCGTCGGGTTTGTTTGCCCATTTGAACTGTGACGTTTTATGGTCTGAAACTTTTCTGCATCATTCATATTATTGTCACTATTTTCATTTCTCAGATTATTTGCAGTCACTGAATCTTGTTAATACACCTGAATCTGTCCATCACTGCAACTTTCACTGTTTTTGGGTTCTGAATGATCGCGTCTTCATTAATGTTTCTCATGGTTCGATTATGGGGGCTAATTGTCACACTGTTAACTCCTGTAATTACACATCAGTCACAAAAAAAATCAAGAAAATGTCTGATAATAATGTTGTTACTGCTCTCAGGGATTCAGCCCAACCCTGGACCCCCCACTAATTACAGCACACCAAATGACTTTAAGAACGTGTCTGGGCTTCATTTTCTGCATGTAAATGCTCGTAGCCTTCTGAGAAAACTTGATGCTGTGAAAATTCTGGTCAGTTCTTCTGGGGCAGATGTTATCTTTATTTCTGAATCCTGGCTCAACAAATCTGTACTCAATAATGACGTGGCAATCAATGGATTTAACATCTACCGCTGTGATCGTCAAAAAAGGGGGGGTGGAGTCATTATTTACATTAGAGATTCTCTGGTTTCTAGTCTTGTGTCTTCTAAAACAATTCCAAACCAGTTTGAAGCCTTAGCTGTTGACATCACCTTGAATGGAGGTCAGATCTTATCTGTAGTCTGCTGCTACCGCCCCCCCACAGCATCACCTGAGGCATTGACTGCCATGATGGAATTTCTTGGTAATTTAAAATTCAAAGAGGTCCTTTTGGCAGGAGATTTCAACATTGATTGGTGTAAGTCGACCCCCCTCTGTGATAAATTCAAGGAATGTTGCTTGTCTCTTAATCTTACCCAACTGATCAATTCTCCCACTAGATTAAATAAAAACCGTCCTGAAAAATCCTCCATCTTAGACCTGTTTCTAACTAATATGCCTCACAAATTCCCTGGTACAGGTGTATTCGCTGATCTTTTGAGTGATCATTGTGTGACAGCGGCTTTGAGAGATATTAAACTTCCACCTTCTAAGCCCAGATTAATTCAAAAAAGGGATCTGAAACATTTCTGTGAACAGTCATTCCTCTGGGATCTGTCTCACTTTGACTGGCATCGTATTCTGTTAACTGATGACGTGAACTCCGCTTGGAAATATTTTCATAATAGTTTTATTTATTTTCTGAACAAACATGCTCCTTTTCGTCAGTTCAGAATAAAGGGACGAGACAGCCCCTGGTTTACTCCAGAGCTAGCTGACCTCCTGCACAGGAGAGATCATCTTTGGGCTGCAGCGAGAAAATCTGACTCAGACACTGATTGGTTGAGTTTTCGACAGATGAGGAATAAATGCACAACTGCTGTCAAAGCAGCAAAACGCAACTATTTCTTATCTTAGACCTCCAAAAATCTAAATGACCCTAACAGATTCTGGAAAACCATCAAATCTCTCTCAGGCACCCCCCAATCATCTGACCTCCCATCACAACTTCTCATTAACTCTGTTCCTGTGTCAAATAAGCACGAGATCCTGAATTGTTTCAACAAACATTTTGTTGCTTCAAGTTCCTTATTTGAGACAGTTACTAATGGAAAATCAGCCACTTCACTTAATAACCAAACTTCTACAAATCAAACCCCTCCTACAAGTCAATCCTCAGTTAATCACAGCTTCTCTTTTTCTCCATTCTCAGTCAGTGAGGTCAATAAACTGTTAAAAGATCTTGACCCTAAAAAATCTGCAGGTCCAGATGAACTTCCACCTTATTTCTTAAGGCTGGCTGCTCATATCATCACAGTCCCTGTGACCCACATCTTCAATCTCTCCATAAGACAATACTCCATTCCAGACACTTGGAAAACAGCCTTTGTTCTTCCTTTGCTGAAGGGAGGTGACCCCACCTCACTGAACAACTATCGACCAATCTTTAAACTCAGTATTTTAGCCAAGGTTCTAGAAAAACTGATAAACTCTCAAATCAAAAATTACCTGGACTCATTTAACATCTTACCTCCACATCAATCATGTTTCAGGAAACAACACAGCAACAACCACTGCTTCACTGAAGGTTCTTAATGATGTTGTTGAAGCACTGGATGCTAAAGATTATTGTGCTGCACTTTTCTTAGACCTGTCTAAAGCTTTTGACACTGTGGATCAGAACATCTTGTGTCATAAACTCTCAGAAATCGGTTTCTCAGATCACACCATTGGTTGGTTCTCTAACTATCTTTCAGACCGAAGGCAATGTGTTCAACATAATGGTACTTCCTCCAGTTATTTAACGTTCAACAATGGTGTACCACAAGGCTCAGTCTTAGGACCCACCCTCTTTACAATCTACATACATAATGTAGGTAAAAACATCCCTAATGCATCCATACATTTCTATGCTGATGACA